GCTTATGTAAATATTTAAATTTCCTTTACCTATCTTGTAGCTAATAGAATGGCAAACTTTTATCTATCTAAATGCATAATACATCATTTGTCTTGTGTGGAACTCATAACAAAATAGGGTTGTAGAGAGGAAACATCAACACTTACTTACAGTTGCTAAATCTTTAATGTTTCAAGCCTTTTTTCCATTAAAATTTTGGGGGGTCTCTGTCTTGGTGGGAACACACACCGTAAACAAAATACCTTCCAAACCTTTGAAAAACAAATCGACTTATGAGTTGTTGTCTTGGGAAATTAATTGATTGGATACCCGAGAACCATAACCTTTCCTAGGAACAGTTTCTACAACGATAGATAAGGGTATACAAAACCTAATCACTCACATTTTAGAGTTTTTATTTCATTATGTTTTACTTCAACATTAACTAGTCATAGAAAGAAATATGATTCTAGGGTTAGAAGATGCATCATGATTGGTTATCCAATGAGAATATAAGGGATACAAATTATATGATTTGTAGTTTAATAAAACATTTGTTTCCAAAAATGTTGTGTTCTTTGAAGACATTTTTCCTTTTCATGTTGTTGATTCTATACCTAAAAATCATGATTCTGTTCAATTCTTCTCTTTTACAAAACCATGATAAATAGTTCTTTCATTGATTCTCATTCTTTACGAAATTCTACTACCATATCAGATAGTTCACATGACACTTTCCAACATTCTTCATATGAATTTGCATCACATATTGATGAATTATCTTTCATGCATTTAAATTCTATTAATTCACAAATAGAATCTACTAATGCAATTACACATGTAGACCTTGATCCAAATGCCTCTGTAAACCCAGTTGACAATTTTCCAATTGAACATTATTCTTTAAATTTCACTCGTCATTCACCTTTTAAGAGAAGTTCAAGACCTAAAACACTACTTAGATACTTAAATATTTATCACCATACTCATCTTAAACCTACAAACACTATATCAAAACCATCAGACCCAATGTCACTTTCCATAACTACAGCCATAGAACATCTTATTACTAATTTTTTGACTACCAAACAACCTCTCCTTCACATAAAGCCTTTACCACTTTATTCACTCATATCCATGAACCTAAAACCTTGAATCAAGCTAATCAACATTCTTAATGGGATATTACTATGAAAGAAGAACTTGATGCTTTAGAGGATAATGGGACATAGTCAGTTGTGTCTTTACCTACTAGTGCACACATAGTTGAATGTAAGTGGGTCTATAAATTGAAACTCAATGTAGATGGCATTGTGGAAAGGTATAAAGCAAGATTGATAGCCAAAAGGTATAGTTAAAATGCACGATTTGATTTTCATGAGACTTTTAGTCCTATTGCAACAAACTACTGTGAAAACTTTCTTGGCAATAATAGCTATCAAACGATGGCATTTATCTCAGTTGGATATAAACAATGCCTTTCTTAATGGTGATCTGGATGAAACAGTGTATATAAACCTTCCACAAGGCTGTACCATTAAGGGAAAATGTTTCAAGTTTTTTAAACTAGTTTGCGAGCTTCACAAGTCTCTATGTGGTTTAAAATGAACTTCAAGACAATGGAATAGCAATTTCGAAAAGGTCATGCTTCAATATGGTTTCAAATTGTCTAAGTAGAACTATGCATTGTTCACTAAAGATGAAAGCAATGGTGGTTTGTTCGCTTTATTATTATATGTTGACGATATTGTGATTACAAGTTCCTCTATTGAGTTAGCTGATAATGTAAAAAAAAAAATTAAAGACCAAATTCAATCTCAAAGATTTAGGTCTCAAATACTTCATAGGTCTTGAAATAGCAAGGTCAAGTAATGACATATCCTTAAGAATGCACCAGGACAAAGTATCTTACTTTTATCTAAGTCTGATTTGAGCTTGACTATTTATATAGATAGTGACTGGGCTAATTGCAGAGATACTAGAAAATCAGTAATACGATTTGGTATTTTTCTTGGAAAATCTTTGATTAGTTGGAAATCCAAGAAACAAGCAGTGGTTACATGAAGCTCTACAGAGCCAAGTATAAAGCAATTGCCTCTGCTTGTTGTCAAGTGATTTGATTGCTTTATTTACTGAAGGATATTGGAATTCAACATGCTAAGGCTATAGACTTATGTTGCGGTAATCAATAAACTTTACACATTTGTAAAAATCCAATTTTTTTTGAAAGAATAAAACACATTGACATTGACTGTTGCTTCCTAAGGGAGAAGGTTCAACAAGATGTTACAATCGCCCAACATGTATCCCTTACAAATCAAATTGCTGATTTGTTTACCAAAGCTCTTCTACCTACACATTATTATAATTTGTTGAATAGGATGAGTATAATTGATATACATGCACATCATAATACTCATCTTGAAAGGGAGTGTTAAAGATGGCAAGTCTTATAGCTAATGTAAATATTTAAATTTCCTTTATCTTTTTTTTATCCTTAAGTTTATTTAGATAGTTTAATTTCTTGTCTTTCTTTTATCTTTTCTTGATTTTCTACTGGTTCAAAGTTGAAGCCAATCTGTATATAAACTATCATTGTAGATGACAAGAAATAGATTAAGAGAGTTTCTATTTTCCTCATTTCTAGTTATTGCAAAATTCACACCTTCCAATTTCTTTTTGACTTGCCCTATCAATGGCAATCATCCCAAAGTCTAATGAAGTCTTCAACTGAATTAGGACACATTCATTCAACCTTCCAGCACTAACATACCGAACACCTCATATTCCATGAAAAATTACACAATAATAATAATAAATACACACAATCATCATCTACATACGATTCCAAGGGCATAACATTAAGTTGTCATAAAAATTAACTCTTCTAAGCTCCAAGGAGTACTTTGTGGGTATACCATTAAGAATGGTAAACCACATAAAAAAAACTTGAGGGGTTTTAAGAATTCTATAATGAAAAGACACATACCTTGCGATTGTCTAAGGCATAACCAAAGGTTTCCAAGGCTAATGTAAATTGTTTGACAGTGAAGCACTCTTGGGGTCATGCATCGATCCAAACTAGTCTATCACGCATCCCATCATTAATTGTCACCTCCATTAGCTTTGATTAAAGCTTTTTCATAAGGTTCTCTTCCCAAACAAATAACCTCTATCTAAACGATATATTCCAATGGCCTTCACACTATACTTTTGTCAGTTAAAATTCTATTACGTAAGTATTCGTATCGAATAGATAGTATATAAGCAAAATAAAGTATCGATCCTATAGAGAATTGATCTAAAATTTTACTAAGTACTAAAATTAGAACAAGTTAATCTTATCTAAACAATCAAAATCAATTAGCTAAATTAATTAACTAAAACTAATTAACCAAAATTTAAACTAAAAAGAAAAATCCAAATAATATTAATTTAAATAAAAATCAAATCAAACAAGCCTAAGATTACAATATCCTTCACATTTCATCTAAATCTTAACTCTCTTCTTTAACTTATTTCAATAGATTGAATTGCTAACCTAGAGTTCTCAATTATCTATAAGAGTCTCCCGACTTATCTTATAAAAATATCTATTTTAACCAATATACTATATACTTATGTGAATTGAAATTAAAATTGACTCATTAAGTTCAGGCTCTAACTAGCTACATATAGCTTATAGGTGTATCCTTATTCTATACACAAATCAATGAATATGATTATATGTTATCCTAATTTTAGTCTACACTAAACTCTCTTTCTCCAGTTTGTTTAGGTTCCTCAAACAATTAAATTGGTGATCAAGTAATTAAAAGAATTAAGAACAAATTGGAATAAATAATTCAAATCTCATTAAAAATAAGTAAGAAAAAGATTAAAAATTTAGATTACATGTGAGTTCAATTGCAATATGAGAAAAAAAAATTAGCTACTCATGATTGCAAAGACATATAACATTATATATAATTCAACCATTGACAGCAATAAGAAAAAAATAAAAGCTACGGAAGAAACAAAACAAATATTTGTAACCTTGCTCTCTAAGTTTCAGCCTCCACTTCTAGCTTCTTGAATCTCTCAAAAATTGTCTCCCTTATATCTCTTAAAAATATCCTATTTATACTACCAAACTTAACCTATAGTTTCGTAAGTTAACCTACTGATTTAATTGGGTTTAAAATCGTAATGTGAGGCCCAAACTTCAATCGTCAATCTTAAAATTACCATTCCCGTAATAGTACGTTCAACTATTTTTCGATTCAATTTTCTCTATCTTCAAATTATGATTGGATAAAATAATCTATGAAGGTTTTAGCTCTGTCTCTTAGCTTTCCAATGGTTCAAAAATTGCAGCATTTGGAGTTCTATAGCACGAGTTATGGTTAAAATACTGAAACATATGCGAATAGACTTTTAGGTCATTCAATACTTTACTTTTCAAAATTGAGCACAGTTCCTTTAAATCTTACAAAAATATAAAAATTAATAAATAATAACTAAATTAAAAGAAATAAACATAAATTTTAAATAACTCACATAAAAATAAACTAATTATAAAAATAATAAAAAAATAACTAAATTATAATTAAAAATTAAGGACTTAACTAATATTTAATAACAAAATTAGATTAAAATAATTTTATAAAATAGAATTATCAACTTCTACCACTTTAGTGTCCTCATCATAAGCCACAAAAAAAAAGCCTAACATATGTAACACTTATGAGTGTCCAAAAGTCATACATCCTACCAAAAATGATCTTGTTATCACTAATCACAACATGAATCACCTTTGGCAACCAGTTGGCATGTAGTTTGGAAATGATCTTGTAGAAGGAGTTAATAAGATTACTGGTCTAAGTAAAGGAGGAATTTAAACCCTTCTCTAGTTTCCCTGTCACCAAAAAGTTTGCAACAAACTCATATAAATGCCTATCAGGCTCATACCAAAAAGTTTCACTAAAATTGTGATAAGGGTACTGTAAATCCTTAAAATTAAGATAGTATACACATCAATATTCAACTTCGAATCTGATTCTCTTAATAGGGTTTTAAAACTAAAATACAATTTACACGCATAAGTCGTACATCCTAAAACAATTGATACATCATATATAATTATTTTTAAAAGAGAAAAGAAAGAGGGAAAACGAATTAATCACATAAAATACATTGACATCTGCACAGTTAATACAAACATATCATATCATCCTTTGCTTCAGTACTTTTGCATTGCCGATTTGCCATGGTCTTGAACTCCATGCATTAGTAATTCCTCAGTTGAGAAGCATATGCGTAGATCTGCTCGGCGGAGTCTATTTTCTTTGCTTCCTCAGAGCTGGCATAAAAGAGGAAGTCCGTGAACTCAAACTCCTTGAAAACTTGAGGATGTTCCTCACTTACAAGCTCTTTTGGTGCCTTGATTATCGTACCCTCCACTGGAACTGCAAAGGCTCCCAGTGAATACCGGTCTCTGTCTCCACTCATCATCACTCTATGCTTCGCCGCTTTCATTCTGCCATTACTCCATGCCTTCATTTCAAGGTTTGTAATGTTTAATATATCAGTCTCCCAATCTCTATTTTTAGTTTAATATTCAATAATTAGGTAAGATTTTGGTTTACATTTTCCCAAAGGTTAAAGAAACCAACTTTCTAGCTAGACTCGTATATCGATATGTAATTGAAAATCAAACTCGTTCATTTAGTTTAAAATTGATGTGGACACCCGCTACGAAATTGATCCAATCCAAATTCAATAATAAAAAAATAAAATTTAATCATATTTATATTTAATTACTCAAAAATGAATAAATAAATTCAAAGTAAACTTCATATTTAGATCATTTATAAATTAAAACAAATATTTTGTCTATTATAAGTAATACGTACATTAACAACAATATAAAAATTAAAAATAATATTAAAAATAATCATCAATAATTAAGTTCAGATAACATATAATTTAGGATTACTATTCATATTTTATCCGAACCCATTTACAAAATATCCTAATCCTACTTAAATTGATCAGATAGTGTTGGATACCCGTTTACATAATACCCATTGTCATCCCTGCTAAATGTCTAGCTAGATCCTGCTTATGGTGCTTATTTGGTTCAGTTTAGAACTTCTTTAAGAAGTGTTGTTCCAATAGAACGATTTTAAAAGTACTATAAAGGGAATTTAAAATTGCATTGTGGCAACTATCATGAAGAAGTGTTATAGGATGTAAAAGCTGTTTCATAGTATTTTTATTTATTTAAGAAAATAAATATAAAAGGCTTAACTTTATTAAACAAAATCATAAGTTTTAAAATGAAAAAATAAATAAAATAATTTATTTTTTAATTAAAAATAAAAAAACAAATGAAACAAGAGAAAAATTAGATCATCTAAAAGGATGAATATAAAAAAAAATCATTCTCTGCATAATTTTATAAATTATTAAAGGATAAAGTGAGAGTGTTAAAAAAATTATTAAATAGTTATTATTACGTATTAACACTTTTTGAAAAATTTTGATTTATAATTTCGTTATTAAATAATTTATACTTTAATTATGTTAGGACCAAATTCTTGGATACCTAATAAGTTATGGCTTTATCATATCCCTGCTTCCTGGGATTCCCATTAATAACGTTAGCCTAGTCATAAAACCTAACAAAGTTTTGAGGGAAAGAAATGATAAAGGGCCAAACAAGGCCCAAAGGTGGCCTGCTACCCCTGGTAAGGATGTCGGCTTCTCGCTATTTCCACGGGTCCAGGAAGCAAGTAACTAGGAAGACAGAGGAACTGTGTAAATCTTGTGGTTTACTGCCTTTCGACAAAAATTAAAAGCATTTGTAACTGGATTCTTGGTACAAAGGAGTAGATAACATAAGTCAAGGTCAGTTAACCCAGATTATTGAGCATACCATGAGAGGATCTCCAACAAGAAAGACAAAGGAACGAGGAGACGGAAACACCTTGGTCCACTCTCCGTCCTTAATTTCAATTTCCAGTCCTGAAATTTGATCCTCACAAACGATTGCGCTGGCCGGTTTATCAGTATGAGCGTAGAGCCCTTTCACATAGTCCCCGGATGGAGGGGCCATGTATTTCATCATTCGCAGCAGCATGTAACATCTCATGATCAATGACTCCCATTTCTCTCCCAGCTCATAACTATCAATAATCATCAACCAGATTATATGGTTCAGCTCCTCCAATTGCTTGGCCATAGAGTTCACAGTTTGGCTGCTCAAAAGGAATGAACACGTTAATTAAGAGTACAAAACTACTTAGAATTCCTTCAAATTTGTAACTACTCTAAGTCTAATTCGAGTATCTGATGGATGAGCTTCGATATAAAATTACCAAAAGTGATGGTGGCCATCAGGCCACATAACTTGAGCAAAGCTTTTAACCGAATCATAGTTGGAGGCATCTTCAATTCCGAAGCCCTCGTACAGAGAAACCTGGCTGCATGGTCCAAAGTAGCTATGGTAAGGCTTTGGATTAACATTTTTCTGCTTTCTCTCCAGCGGGACTTCAACAAGTTCCCTTACCAAGGAAAACGTCTCCTCCCGGAGTTTCCTTGGTATCCTTTCATACACCACTTGGAAACAACCGTAATTCTCACAAGCCTCTCGTACCCTTCTGCACAAACGTTGCCACCCTTCAGTTCCTCGCTCCAAATCCGGTGAATCCGCGGCCGGTAACTCAATAACTGGAATCTGAAATTCAGCAACGGAACCCATTTTCATTAACTCTAACAATATTAATTTCTTAGACTAAATTAGCTTGTATATGTAACAATGGTCTTGGTTTCTCGTTGTCGCCTCACGGCCAGAAGGGCTTAACTCTTTTATATGGCACTGTTTCTAAAGGCGACAAGCAGATGCCACCAAACTAGCACCTATGAACTTCAATAAAAGCATCTAAAGCAGAATCATATATATATATATATATATATATTGGTAAAAATCTGAGTGTGTAGTATAGACAAATTTAGAGTCCCATTTGAAATGCGAGAGTTTGAGTTTGTTTAGAAATTCATTTTGTCCGTTTGTATGTCATTCACATTGATCGGATGAGAATGAAAGTGACGTGTGGGAAATAGGAGTTGAGCTGGCTCATATTTGTTGCGATGAAGTCACCTTATGGATATAGCAGAGCTGCGTGTGAATGTGAGGTGCAGGTTGGGTAATTGCTGTGGGTCTTTTCTCGACTGACTTGGTGCTAATGTTTGGATATGTTTTGAATGAGCACTTATAAGGTAATGCTCAAGTGTTAGTTTTGCGTCCTCGACATTCCCAAATCTGGGATATAATCTTTTACTTTATTTCTATCTTTTTCATTATTGTAAACATAAAAGTTCATAGTTTTTGCTATGGCATCTAGCAATAAATTGCGTAATTCTCAGAAGAAAAAAAAACACCTAATTAGTTTTTTTTTCTTTTTTCAAATAAAGCTTTTATAATTTCCCATAACAATATACATCTATGTGTCATGCTTCTTTTGGAAACACAATCACATATTTGTCTTTACCGCATAGACAAGCTAATAAGCAGAAGGCAAGATACAAACATATCTATCGTCATATTAACCAAACCTAATATATTTGCGATATTTCCATGGCTGAAACACTTAATTAATTTATTGGTTGAGCTGCATAACTGAACACCTTCTTTGCCGAGTCCAAGCGCATTGCTTCCTCTGAAACTTTGAGGAATGCCATATAACAGAAGTCCCTGAAAACTTGAGGATGGTCCTCATCTACCAGCTCCTTTGGTGCTCTGGTGATCGAACCCTCCACAGCCACAGGCACTGCAAATGCTCTGAAGGAATTAACACCGCTCTTTGTCTCCACTCATCATCACCCTGTTCTTCGCCGAGTGCATTCTGCCACTGAGGATTTTTTTTATTTTTTACTGTGTCTTTAGTGATGTCATCAGCAATTGAGTTTAAAATTTCTATTGCACACTTCACCATATAGAAGTCCAAGGTTTCATTGTCATAGCATTGAACGTTAACATCAATTAAGCAGGAAATCTTTACTTGATGATCATCAATTATTTCAAGGCTTTACCTCCTTAAATCAAGGAGTTCAATATTAAAATTTAATATCAAGTTGTGGCCGCCTACCGGACCAAGGTAGTGACATAATAATAATTAATATAGCATAAGTAGTTTGAAAAACCATGGCTAACGTTTCAACTTCAAAGTTCCTTTTCTCTACTATTGATGATCCTCAGTCTTCCTATTACATTCATCATTCATATCATCATGGTTCAGCGATGATAAATCCAAAGTTGAATGCAAAAAACTATGCCTCATGGAGCAAATCTTTCATTTTGGTTTTGTCAATTTGAAACAAGTTAAGGTTTATTAACGGTATGATTGTTGAATCAGAACCCAATGATGAGATTCATGTACAATAGCTGAGATGTAACAATCCAACAATCGCATGGTTGCTGGAATCGATTTCTCCTCCAATTGCAGCAACGGTTTTCTACATCAACTCAGTGGCACAAATTTGGAAGGTTCTGAAAAGCATTTTGCTTAGCCTGATGATTCATGGATCTGTAATCTCCAGTTTATTCTTTCCAATGTCACACAAGGTACTCGAACAATCGATTCCTATTTCACTAAGTTTAATGTTATTTAGGAAGAACTTAAGAATTTTAGGCCATTACCTCATTGTGACTGCGAAGATTGTAATCTTAAATGTTTCCAGAAATATATTGATTAGTTGACTAAGGATAATGTGTTTAAATTTTTGAATGGCCTGAACGAATCATTTGTTGCATTGTGGTCTTAGATTTTGTTAATGAAGCCTTTTCCAAGTCTAGATAAGGCTTATAACATGATCATTAGAGAAGAAAGTCAAAGGAATCTGAGTATGCAATCTCAACCTCTAGTTGAAGGGTCTACTATGATAGTAACAAGTGAAAAACGAAAGAAGTTTAAGCCTGATATTACTTGTGGACATTGTGGTAAGGTTGGTCATGCCAAGGAAAATTGTTACAGGCTTTTTGGCTTTCCTCTTGATTTTAAATTTTCCAAGAACAAAAATCCTGCTGCTAAGAAATTAGGCCCTTCTAATAGTGTGATGGTCAATGTTACAACTGCTGGTAATGAGAAACATGATAGTGCCATATCTCAATTGTCTTTCACCCAATCTCAATATCAAAAATTGATGATGTTAATCAATGAAGATCATGCTGACTCTAGTGATAAACCGCCCTTTTCCCTGAACAAAGGTATTCAGAACTAGTAACTCAAATCTTCAATTGTCAATTCTTCAATGGCAGGTATAATTGCTAACCCTTTTTGCTTTAATTCTGCTCATGTTATTATGATCGATCATATGTTAATAGTTCTAGATATTTTTCTAATCATTGGATTGTTGATTCGGGTGCTACTGATCATATAGAATGTAGTCTTCAATTTTTTACTTCATATATTGCTGTTTCCAATGGACTTGTTAAAATGACTAACAATTTCAAGGCTTTAGTTACTCATATAGGAACTGTTCAACTGTTGGATAATCTGACCTTACACAATATCTTGTTTATTCCTAGCTTTAGGTTCAATCTCATATCAATTGTTAAACTTACTACTTCTAGAGAATTTAACTTAATTTTTTTTTTTATCAAATATGTATGATATAGGAAAACAAGTGTTTGAAGATGACTAGTCTTGCTAGATTAAAAGTTGGACTTTACATCTTGCAGAGCAAAGTTGCAGATTATAAGTTGGACTTTTCAATGTTTGGCAATGTTGATGTGAACAATGTTGGTTGTACTTCTTTATCTCAGTCTTTCTAGCTTTGGCACTTTCGATTAGGACATATTCCCTTAAAAAGAATTCGTGTTATACATCAAAGACTACCTGATGTTGTTTCCTCAAACATAATTTGTGATGTTTGTCACTATGCTAAACAAAAAAGTTTAGCATTTCTTGGTCATGTTAAATTTACTACTATATGTTTTGAATTAATTCATGTAAATGTTTAGGGTCCTTACTACACAGCTTCACTCAAAGGTCATCGATATTTTTTAACTATTATGGATGATTTTGGCAAATTCACTAGGGTTTTTTTAATGAAATCCAAATCAGATGTTATGTCAATTGTTCCAAATTTTTACAACGTGATTTTTACCCAATTTGGTTTCAAAATTAAACAAATCAGACATAATAATGGTACTGAATTTAACCTGTCCGATTTTTTCTCATCTAATAAAATATTTCATCAAATCTCTTGTGTTGAAACACCCTAACAAAATAGGGTTGTTGAAAAAAAAAATCAACATCTTTTAACAGTAGCTAGATCTTTACTTTTTCAGTCTAACTTACTTATAAGATTTTGGGGATATGCTATTCTTACATCTGCACACATTATTAATAGAGTTCCAACTCCTATTTTAGAAAGCATATCTCCTTGTGAAGTTTTATTTTCTAAGGTTTGTAGTTATTCACATTTTTAGAGTGTTTGGATTTCTATGTTTTGCTTCTACCCTTTCACATGATAGAAAAAAAATTGAATCACGGGCTAAGAAGTGTGTTTTTTTAGGATATCCGCAAGGTACAAAAGGTTATATATTATATGATCTTATCACTCATCAAACATTCATTTCCCGATATGTTATCTTTTATGAGCATATATTTCTTTTTCAAAAACTTAATATTTTTATTCTTGATCTTGTTTTCCCTTTTTCTGAAATACTTGATGACAATATTACTATCACTCCTTCTCCATGTCATTCAAACCTACAACCATTCAATCCAACAGTGATCCATCTATATCTTCAACTTCTTCATCAAATTCTCCTTTTTCTTTGCCTAATTATTTCTCGTTCTGACAATTCTTCTGCATTTACACTTAAAGCTACTTCTGTTGAACCCTTATTTGAACCTACCACTGTTGAACCAACAATTGAAGTTCCCTGTTCTTTCTTCTCCCTCACATGATTCCCAATCTATTTTTATTCCTGTTTCTCCACTTAGAAAAAGTACCAGACATAGAAAATTACAAAATACCTTAATGCTTACCATCATAATTTGCCTACCTCTTCAAACCTTGTCACAAAATATCCTATTCAACATTTCATATCTACAAATCAATTATCCAACAATCACAAAGCCTTTGTTGCTTTTCTTAATCATTTTTCAGAATCTACTAATTATCATCAAGCAATCAAATTTCTTCATTGGCAAACAGCCATGAAATCTGAAATTGAGGCTTTTGAAAACAATGGGACTTGATCTACCATTTCTCGTCCTAAGGATGCACACCCTATAAGGTGTAAATGGATTTACAAAGTCAAGCTCAAAGCTAATGGGAGTCTTGAGAAATATAAAGCCAGACTTATGGCTAAAGGTTATAACCAACAAAAGGGATTCGATTATCATGAAACATTTAGTCCCGTGGCTAAACAAGCCATTGTTCGTATCTTCTTGGCACTTGTTGCTATTAAAGGTTGGGTTTTATCTCAATTGGGTATCGATCATGCATTTTTAAATAAGGATTTAGAGGAAACTAGTTATATGGATTTACCTCCTGGTTATGATGTTAAGTAAGGTTGTTCTTTTAATCAAAAATTGGTTTGTCAATTGCACAAATCATTGTATGGTTTAAAGCAGGCTTCTTGTCAATGGAATCTAAAATTTAGTATTGCTCTTTTGGATTTTGAGTTTATTCAATCTAAATCGGATTACTCACAATTTACTTTTACTACTAATTTTTTTTTTTTTTTTTTTTGAAAGTTGAAGATATAATTTCATTAGCAAGAGGCTTTACAAAAGCTGCCCATTAAGGCCTTTTACTACTAATAGTGGTGATTTTGTAGCATTGATGGTTTATATTGATGATATTGTTATTGGGAGTTCTTCTTCAACTGCTGCAAATGAGGTAAAAGCTTTTCTTAAGTCTTGGTCATGTAATGAGGCTGCAGACAATCTTGTTAAATCAGGGGTTGATAGAATTCATGATCTTTTAAGTCTTTATCCTTAACTATTTTGGATAGTGGCCTCTCTTTGTCTACTGCTTCTTGTTGCTAGGTTTTAATGCATGCTTCTGTGACAGAGAGCTTTCCTAAGCTGCTATGCTCTAGAAAAGTCTACGACCTGCAGGAGGATAAAAGACTCACAATGGTTATGTTCCCTTCTCTTACTTTTCCCTCTACCTCCTTTTGCTTCAAGCCTGGTTGTGGTCTTTTGCTTGTTTTTTTGCTATCAAATCTCTTGTACAGGACTTGGTTTTTACTAGTTAATTTTTGTACACCAACTCCAGAGAAGGATCTTGGTCTGATTTTGCCAGGTTCTCTCTCCTTTTGTATAAATAGATTTTCTCTTTTGATATAAATACACCACATATTTAATTTTCAAAAAAAAAAAGTCTCGGTTTAAACTTAGGGAGCTTGGTGAGCTTAAGTATTTTCTTGGTTTGGAAGTGGCCCATTCTACTCAAGGGATTTATCTTCATCAGTGTAAGTATGCTCTTGATTTACTTGAAGAGTGTGGGTGGTTTTTAGGTGCTAAATCAATTACTACTCCCATTGACTATAATTCTAAGCTTACCCAAGCTTGTAATGGTTCTGATTTTGTGGATCCTACTTTGTATCGACAATTGGTGGGCAAACTCTTATATCTTACTTTACATGTCCAGACTTTTCATATGTTGTTCAATGCTTATCTCAATATATGGATCGATCTATCTTTTCTTATTTACAAGCAGCACATAGAGGGCTTCATTATTTGAAAGTTAGGGTCTTTTACTTTCATCTACTTCTTAGCTAGTCTTAAAGGCTTATACTAATATCAAGATACTCGTAGATCTATTATTGGTTTTGCTATTTTTCTGGGTCATTCTCTTGTGAGTTGGCATTCTAAGAAACAATCTGTTGTTGCACGTAGTTCCCCTGTAGCAAAATATCGTACCATAGCTACTGCTTGTTGTGAATCTATTTGGTTTCTTTCTTTATTGCATGATTTTGAGCTTGACAATGTTCATCCTGCTTTTACTTTATTGTGATAATCAATCTGCATCTGCGCTGCATATTTGTAAAATCCTATTTTTCATGAAAGAACAAAGCATATTGAAGTTGATTGTCATTTGTTCATGATAAAGTACTTGCAGGTGTTGTTACCCCTCAGTATGTTCCTACTCAATGTTAGTTAGCTGATCTGTTTACTAAGGCTTTACCTATTACACATTTTCATGGTTTACTGTCCAAGATGAGCATTTTGGATATTCATGCTCCTCTTGCAAGGGGGTATTAGATTTTAATTTGTGGTAACATTGTAAATAAGTGCAATGGTATTATTGTAATTAGTTTAATAATTTTGTAATTTCCTTTTTCCAATGTACATATAAATACTGCTCTCTGTATCATATGCAAATTAATAATTTTTTCCATGTACCAAAGAATTCTCTTCCAAACGGGTCTTCTGGTTTCTTTCGTTCTTGAGATTTCAGCCACCTACGATCTTGGTTCTTACAACACCACTTCAAACACAAAAGTCTTCCCAGCCCCTTTCACCTGCTTGCACAACCTTAGCCATCCATGGGCTCCTCGCCCCATGTCTTTTTGAACCGATCGGCAACTCGATAATTGGAATCTGAAGCTGAGAATTAGAACCCATTTTGCCTCTAATGGAATATCGAAAAGTTGCCTTATCGAGAAAAGCATCCCCTCTCAGAGATGACTTGATAGGTTATCAAACACCACTTCAAACAACCAAAATTTTCACAAGCCTCTCTCACCCACTTGCACAACCTTAGCCATCCATGGGTTCCTTGCCCCATGTTTTTTTAAACCAATCACCAACTCGATAATTGGAATCTAAAGCTGTGAATCAAAACCCATTTTGGTACTGCTTTTTTGCTAGCTACTAATATGATTTAGTGGTAGATTTCGGTTTAGTTGCTCGTTTAACACTTTCCCAAGGGCCTTCTATATTGTAAGGTTTTTTAAACGCATGAGAAGGCACTCAAGCATTTGACTCATTAATTGATATATGATCTCTTATTTAAAAAGTAAAATTCAAATCTTCATTCCCCAAATTAAAAAAAAAAAATACACAAAAAAATTCAACCAAAGTAACACTTATCCAATTCCATAAAAGTATCTAAATCAAACTCATTTATAATTGTCCAAAATCTAAGCATATATCAACTTGCAATTATGAGACAACCTTTAATAATCAGATAGTGTATTTTTCTTAGAAAATTTAACTATTATGACATTTTAATCAATTAGTATATCATGACGATTTAACTATTTGTCAAATAAAATTAAAAACTGCTCTCCATATATTTTGTATATTTCTTTTCAATTTTGATGAAATTGGTAATAGATAGTACTAATGATAGGAAACCCTCTAGACAAGATTTGAGTGGTTAAGAGGTTTTAACAGTTCGTTATATCAAAGAGGAGGAATCAATAGTACTTTTGAAACAGTCCTCTCATTGTAATAGTGTGTGCATAGCTCCAACTTACAAACTATCTTAGCTCTGAGCCAAGTTTTTGAAGCTTATATTAGCAATTAGTGGCTGCTACCGTATCTATATTTTTTTTTCTTCTTTTTGAATTGTTTTTCTTCTCTTCCATTGAATTATAATCATTGTTATAATAATTTTAATCTTATTTTATACATCGATGCATGATAATGAATCTAAAAATTATAAAGTTTGTAATACTTAATTACTTTTCATTCAAAATGATTAATATTTATAAAAATAATTTTTTATTTTTTCACTATTAATTAGTATTGATGTGCAAAATTCTACTACCAATAAAAAACTTCGATAATTGAAGAATTAATGTCAAGGGGGAGAAATAATTAAGTAGAATTTTTTTTTCATTTAAGAAAAGGAAATTTTGAATCTTACTCTTTGAACGGAGAAATCATACATCAGCTATTAAGTCAAATCTTCCTTTGGGACATGAGGGTTCGATGAGTCAAATCTTTCTTTGTGTGATTTTGGTATGTCGGGTTTAAGGGCTCGTTTTTGGATGGTTCTTTGTTTATGCCCTGTCCATGTTTGGCTGTCATAGTTAGAATACTTGTGCCTTTAGGGTAGGGAGTCTAGATGAGGGAGGAGGGGTGGCCTTCTTTAGAGGGATTTTTGCTGATGTTGTTCTGCTTCTTACTTCTTAAGCTCATGTGGGTTCTCCTTCCTCTAATGCTTCTTTGAGTGTTTGCTTTGTGAAGAAATGTGCATTAGTATGGAAGGAAAAAGAAAAGTTTTTTATTCGGGCTTAGGTTGTTTAGTTTTATTTATTTCATTTAATCTTATCATTTCTTCATGTATGATTTTTATGATCAGAAAAGGAAAAAAGGAAAAGAAAAAAAAAGAGAAGAGAAAGAAGAAAAAAGGAAACAAAAAGAAAATTGTTGAGAAAAATGGAAAAGGGGAAGCCTGTTTACTAATATTTTGTGTCTGTCCTTTTGACTTCTTTTTTGGTGTTTAAGTTGCTGTCTAAAGGTTTTTTTCATTTTCTGGTTTTGGTCTTGTGCTGTTCTAATGTTTTGTGTTTGTTGGACGTTGTGGGACACTGGCCTGAAGTGGATGCTTGCTGGCTTGGGGGAAGACGTTGTGGGGGTTTCTGTTTTTCAGGTGAGCACTCCTTGTCTCTGTGGTTGTGTTGTTGAGGATAAGTTGGGAGGATGCTTCTTGCGGGGTTCTCCTGGCCTCTGATGGTATTTCGTTTTTGTTGATGTCAACTTTGCGACAGCTGGTTGTTTCCTTGTTGCCCTTGATGTTGCTCTACTGGTGTGGTGACTGCTGTTGTTCTCTCCATGGATGGCTGCCATTACTCCTTTATGTTGGCTGGTTCCCAAAGGGGTAATGGTCTTTCTTGTTTGGTCTCCTGCTTGTTCCGGAAGAATTCAATTTGTGGTTGCCGCTTACTTGCTTGCCTTCTAGGTTTGGTTTCTCCTAGATTGCCCTACTTAGCTTCTATCGAGACCTGGAGGTTGTCCAACGCCTCTAATTGAACTGGAGGCTCCTGTTGCGGGGTTGTGTTGTCCAATGCTTTTCATTGTTGACGCATCTATGGCTGCTCCTAGCAAGTTTCGCCTTTCACTCTGCTAGCTTCTCTGCTTGCGCGCTGATTATTATGTGCATTTTGCTTGCTTTTCTCCTTCTTCGTGGCTGCTTGGGTCGTTTCTCCTTGATTTCTTTGGGTCCTTTTTTGTGGCTGAGTTACTTTTGTATACGTTGCCTTTTCCTTGGTTACGTGCAAAATGTTCTGTTTTTCTGTAGTATAAATAGTTTCCTTTTCTTGTAATGCTACCACTACTCTTGAGTAGCAGATCACTTCTGGAAAATGTACAGATGTCCTCAACCTCACCAACTCTCTTATGCCATTAAGTGTCTTTTGCAGTCAAGCTTAAGACTCGAAATGCCATGTTGGTGAAGAGATCAAATAAAATCACTTTTCAAAAGAACACTACTAAATCAAATGATGGAGTATAGAATCGAATACCTTTGCTTTTGAACCATCTTTCATTGTAATTATCAAAACTTCAATTGATTTATTTTTTATAATTCCACTGTGATAACTCGCATGGTCTTTTTGCAAGATACAATTACATTGTCGTATTAACCAAAACAGAGTACTACCTAAATCCTTTCTTTATGGTGGTCACCCACTCGAACAATTTCCTTACACTACTCTCTTTGGTTGAGCAGCAAATATGAAGAGCTTCTTTGCAGAGTCTATTGCCATTGATTCCTCCGAATCTGCATAATTGAGGAAGTCCATGAGATCAAAATCCTTGAAAACTTGAGGATGCTCCTCATCTACCGTCTCTCTTGGTGCCTTGATGATCGTACCCTCCACAGGCACTGCAAATGCTCCCAAAGAATACCGGTCTTTGTCTCCACTCATCATCACCCTATGCTTCACCGCATGCATTCTGCCATTACTCCACGCCTGCAATTAATTCAGTGTTCGTATGTATTCAACGAGTAACCTGTTAATTAGGGTAATTGTATTTCTTGAATCAATTAATTTTAACTAACTCAAATATTTTGGATCATCACAATTTATAAATTCAAATTAAAATACAACTACATAGCTTTTTTCAAAGTTCAATGGGAACCCCATCGATGTAAATACATCAAAGTTGCTCCACCATGGGGATGGGTGGTGGCGGCCGCCGACGTTCATGTCAATGTATAAAATTGTTACCATTACCACCAGTGGGTGGGTTTGGCACATGATGATAAAAAGATTCCAGCATGTTAGATAAGTAAACAAGGGCAGCTAGAAAAGGAAATGTGGATGATATCATACCGTGAGTAGATCTCCAACGATAAAGACGAAGGAACCGGGAGATGGAAACAGCTTGACCCACTGTCCATCTTTGGTTTCAATTTCTAGCCCTGAAATCCCATCCTCGCAAAGGAGTGCACTGGAGAATTTATCGGTATGAAGCAAGCCCACAGTTGTATATCCTCCGGAAGGAGGTGCCACGTATTTCATCACTCTCAGTAGCTCGTAATGTGTCATGAACGACTCCGGTTTCCCTCCCAAGCCGTAACTATCAACGATCATCGAACCAATCACATGGCTCAGCTCCTCCAATTGCTTCATCAGAGTGTTAATCGTTTGGCTTGTGGCAAGAAAACAAAGGACTCAATAAATGAGTCAACGTTTAGAATGAACCAAATCTTGCTATTCCCAATGCTACGAGAGTTCAAGGGTTTCAAACCCGGGTTCATATCAACTAGTACAACTCTTTCTTTTACTACATTTCCTATACTTATCCAATCATAATTCATAATTATGAATTGTGCGAGGACTCATCATTAAAGGTAGATGAGGTAAAAAAAGATCGTATCTGATACAGTGACTAGACTAGGACTAACCCTGTCGGACAAGCTACCTAGCTAGCTGGGGGCTGTCTTCCTGGAAAAACAACTTGGATCAAAACATATTAAAAGAGTTATAATTTCGACTACCAGAAGAGTCCACATAAGTTGGGCGAAGCTTTTGACAGAGTTACAGTCGGAGGCATCTTCAAGTCCAAAGCTTTCATAGAAAGGAAGGAATTCACTACCCGGTTCGTAGTATCCATGATAAGGCTTTGGGTTAATGTTCTTCCTCTTCGTCTCCAATGGAAGATTAAAAAGTTGCCTTATCAAGGAAAAGGTCTCCTCTCGGAGATACCATACACCACTTCGAAACAACCATAATTCTCACAAGCCTCTCGCACCCTTCTGCATAAACCTTGCCATTTACCATTTCCTCGCCTGAGATTAACTGGAATCTGAAACTGAGACTCAGAACCCATTTTCCTATTTCTTTTCTGCTAGCTACTGATGAGGTTTAGTGCTAGATTGGTTTGGTCGCTCCTTGACTTTCCGAAAGGCCCTTCTATATTTTGCATATAATGTCTTGAGAGGAGTACGACAAAACTAGCAGCAATCCAATTCCGTTAAGTTGTAAAGCGGATTCATATCTGTCCAATGTACATCTATTAAATGTATAAACTTTATCATTTATATATATTTTCTTTTCAGATATCACGTGTAGTTTATGGGTACTAGTTGGGTCCTGAACTATACAGTGAAAGCATATCTACGTCAACCATTGCAATTCCCAAGTTGGGTCCTGAACGACAGAGTCCACGCAGCCCTTCATCATCTACCTCCACATTCCAACGCCTATGCCTGCATAAGTTGGTTTCATTTTTGTTTTTTTTTTTTGGGCTTTTCCTATGACAGTAATCATCGATGATTTTGGATTTAGGTATGAAGACTCCTACTGGTCGAGGAATCGTAATGTTAAGATGAATAGCGAAGAGCGAAGAAAATCCACAGGCACTCAGCCATAATGCAGTGAAATTGAAGTGAAATGTTTTGCCAGTTGTAATGCAGGTTGGTAAGACATAGGATATGATAACGCTTGGAAGAGAGCATTCTCTCAAGTCTCCGCAGTAGCTTCATCAAATCTAACCTGGCATCTTATCTTAATCCACTGGGAAAGGATCAGAATCCGTACTGACAAAAAAATTTTGGAAAATGCTAATTAACTTAAAGCAGGAATGTCCAAATTAACGATTTAACGACACAAGGTTACATAAGCATGCACACAAGAGACAAGGTTAGTTACTACGGTTATGCGGAGCTAAAATTGGGACAAACCACAAAATGGACACATTGAGCAACCACAACAGCCACAAACTAACAATTGTTGCTGATTAAAAACACTGATGTGTATTTCATCTGGCTAGCAATCGTATCACTTCCACAATTTGACAAACTTGTCATGGCTGGCAGAAGAAACCAGCCCTGTCACAGGTGATACAGCCAATGCAGCTATTAGTCCTTCATGAGCTGCCAACGTCATAGTCTTATTCTCCGTCATATTCCATAGCTCCAAAGACTGCAGCACAAAGATCAAAACACTTGGTAAGTAAATGAACCCAACATGACTCAAAAGGCCCATTATTTCGTAACCAGTCTCCAACCAAAAGAAAAAAAAAAAAAAAACTCTTTTCCCTCATTTCTATTTACCCATACTTCTTTCTCTCTCCTCAACTTTTCCTCATCATAACAGGTTAAGATTATGGATGTGCATACATTTGAATTATAAGAAGATAAATGAAAGCCAATAGCTAGACGATGGAGCTGAATGAGAGTCTTAAACACATTTTTCAACAGTCATAAGTTGAAACCACTACAACGAGAAAAAGATTACTTGGAAATAATTAGGAATTTACAGATTCTGTAACCCTTTTTCATATTCCAAAGGTATTTAAGAAGGATTCACATATCAACGGTCCTGAACCTTGTGAAATAGATCCCATGTACTCCCAAGTGGTTTATGGGGAAGCTCACAACAAATTTGATGTGATCATTCATGCAGGTTCTCCACATGCATGATCAACTATTCATGCAGGTCTTATTCATGTTTGTTTAACTTAAACAGGCTACAAGGGAATATCGTTAAAGTGACCATAAAATAAAATAACATTGCCAAGGTATAATAACAGCAAATAAGCAAATGCATGTTAAAGAACAAAAATAAAAAGTTACTTGCCTGGTAACAGCCAATGACCAGCAATGATGGATATGTAGGATGGAAAACACAAGAGTGAAACTTGTTCCCATTACAGCTCAATTCATGAACACATTCCCCTTCACTCCCTGATCCAAGTGTCCAAACTCTGACAGAGTCCTCACTGACAGATGCTAGAAGCTCACCCGAAGGGTCCCAGCATACAGAATGTATTGGTTTAGTGTGTCCCTGTTATTAAAAAACCAAAGTCAAAGTTAGTCATGCTGCAGCAGAAGAAATAGCAGAAAAAAGATCTTAAGAACAATGTATAGATAGAATTCCAAAGGGACAAACCACCACAACACAGCAAGAGCATAAGATTCGACACAGTAATACAGATGCAACCATCATCGGATCTTTAGTCAAGTAGTCAGTCACCAAACAACAAGCCACAGTTCAGCTAGGCTTGTATCAGTAGCACATTTATAACCTTGATTACCGAAATCATACGTTTTGAACTAAATTGATCTAGTTGTAATACAATATGGAAATTTGGCAATTTAAAGACTTTTAACAGTAGCTTGAAACATGACCCAAACAAAATCTAGATTCCAAATCCTTTCTCTGTCCACTTGAAGCTTCACTGGAACCCTAATTATGGGCTACTATTGGCTAGTCTAAAACTTCTTATTGTCAAACATTAGACATGTATGACCATTGAGGCAAATCTTTCAGTGGAAAATATCAAGATAAATCAGCTATCACAAAATATTTTTTAATGGGGGAGTAGAAAACCAGCATTGGTTAAACCCTAAGCATAGATCAAAATCATACCCACTCGTGTGGCGATAGTAGGGATCAATCTCTCCAAGAAACAAATTGACACTTCTCAGTTCTCAAAAATTCAGTTTGAATCAATTGGAATTCACTGTTCTAAATGATTTGTTCAATTATTTCAAGAAATTGATTCTAGGAGCCCAATCTAAAATTTATATTTTAACTAAATTTAAATAAAAAAAGTCCCCAATCTTTATTATGTTTACTTCATTTTTTTCAAAAGAAGATAGCATCTCTTGTTCAAAGACTGAAGCTTTTACTTCTATATCATTTATGCATGTATGTTTTTCCTCAACTGATGCAAACTGATAATGACTTGCTTCCTCTTTTGTTCTTCTACCTTCTTTTATTTCAAGCAAATTCCTTAGGGTTCTTTCATATTTTTAATAATCCAAATAATTTACCTGCAATGAATGTCGACAGGTTTGAGTTTCTGTGTCCAATATAGATACAACATTCTCTGCAGCTGCAGCAAGATACTTTCCAAGGCGAGGTTGAAATCTCAACTGGGCTGTACCACCCTGTTCCACACAAAGGAAACAATCTTAATAGCTGCCCATCCACATTAAAGAGAGAGGCCTGCATACAATTTATTCTAATTGCAAGCAAATCTAATGCAAGATCATACCTTGAATACTCTTGCACAGCTCCCATTGTTGATACTCCAGTATCGTATTTCACCATCACCATCACAAGAGCAGATAAGATCATCCTTGCTTGGGTGGAAGTCAAGTGACATAACAGTAGCAGAATGTCCCATAAAGGTACGAAGTGAATAACCAGGCTGCAGACAAAGTCGAGGCAATAAACAATCACATCCAATAAAAGTTAAAAACAAAATACCTTTGGAGGCAAACCAAGTAACACCCCACCCACCCCAAAAAAAAATCTATGGAGATTCTCATCCAAAGAACAAATCCAAGAAATGCCATAGAAAGACTCTAAAAGCAAACATGAAAGAGGAAGGAAACAGCAGCAAATTTAATAACACCAGTATTAAAGGTTCACCCAAACTTAAATTCCAAACAGAAGAATATTACCCTTCAGGTTTACATTCAGGAGGAACAACCAGCAACACTGAAAGCATGAAGTACAAACTACTTCTTCAGTAAAATTTATATTAATCAGGAAAGGAGAATACTGAATAGTTGCCCATTATAGAAACCTACTTTGCATCACAAAGTATACTATGCTATGCATTTACTAGATTTCGAAACATCATAACAGTAATAAAGGGGAATTTTCATAACAAATTTTCAATGTTGCAACAACTGCAAATTTAATAACACCACCAGGACCAAAGGTTGATTCAAACTTGAATTCCAAACAGACACATATAACCCCTTCAGATTTTACATCAAGGAGAAAAGAGCAGCAACACTGAAAGTATAGCTATGAACTACTTTTTCAGAAAACTTTATATTTATCATGAACAGTGAATACTGAATAGTTGCCCATTATAGAAACCTACTTTGCATCACAAACTATATATGTCTAGATTTTGGAACATTATAACCAGAATAAAGGGGAATTTTCTTTCATTCTGCACAGTGCTAATGGCATTGTTGGTAAGAATTAAAAACCACTCGCAGCAAGCCACATCCACCCGTGCATTAAACTAGAAAGTATAAGAAACAATTGGTTGCACCCTGCTAACAAATTACATAAAAGATAAAATCTGCAAAATAGAAGCACCTTAATTGATCTAAATGCAGATTAGACAGCAATCCAGAAGAAAAGACACTTTAGAATGGAAAAAGCATGCACATGCACAGAATTTTTAAATGAAAATTTTAGTGAATAACATGGTGCATCATGCATACGTACAAGAAGACATGATTAGCTCAAAACAATCATAATAAGCAAAAGAAAAGAAAAATGTCCACTAACACTGTCGGCATCCCAAACTCTGACAGTTTTGTCAAATGAAGATGTTGCAAGGCGTGACATGCTTGGACTGAAACGAACATCAGTAATTAAAGATGAATGTTCTTCAAGCGTAGACTTTGGCTTCAAAGTGTCTGTATACCATAATACAGCCTGCATTTTAATATAAAAATTAAAAAATAAAACCAAAAAAAAAAAGATGCAAATGATTTCAGTTCCCATCATAACAAAACTAAAACCAATTATAAACCAACATTCAGAGTACACATATCCATCTCTCCTCTGGGAACTCACCTTTTTATCATGGCCACCACTAGCAAGTAACTTTCCGTCTGATGAGAAATGACAAGAAGTAACTTTGCTTGTGCTTGCTCGAACAGAACTTACTTCCATAAATGTGAAACCTGAAGTCCAATTCAAATTTGGTACATTTAAAACAGGACAATTTTGAATATGAAGTGTGAACTTATCCACTTGTATTATGCAGTAATAGAGTAATACCGATGGCCCATGCAAATCACAATAAAATAATATTAAATGAAAGTGTATCACTCAAAATTACAAAAATAAGGATAGATGCGCATGCCCATACATTTACACATTTTTTTCTTCGTGATACAACTAGCATTTGATGCATAAACGAATGTGGCAAGATCATGAAATTAGTAGCAATGACTAAAATGTATAATAACAATTCAGTGAGAATAATACCAACATGTACAAAGTTTAATGACATTTACAATTTCTATACTTAAATGAACTTAGTGCATTCCAACAAGGATGCACCAATTACCATAATAATTTGCATAAACAATTAGCAAATTATCTTGTTATCCCCAAGAATAACTCAGAACATGGACAACTTCAACAAAAGAAAACTACAATGTTAGAGAAAATTTAATAAATCATAACAACCATAAAAGTTATATTTATACACCTTTACTGACATCCATACATCGGCCAACGGTATCTCTAGGATCCGTATCATCATGGGATAAAAAAGACTCAACATTATCATCAAGAGATCCATCCTCCACAAATCGGTCCATATCAGCCTGCAATTCAAGATCTTTATCATCCCACTGCCACAATGGAATGCCAATGAGAATTCATGAAAGGAATTTTTAATTCCTCCACCAACACGGGAAAATAACTAATGGACTCACCAACTGATTTGATGGTGATGTAAGTGTGCCAGCACCATCAGTGCCAAACATCATCAGAGGCTTGGAAGAACTGCCACTATGAGGCAGGGCAGGCATTGAAATCACATCTCCAGGGGTGTGTGTTGATGGCGTGGATGGTGCTGAACTTGGCGAAGGTCCAGCTGTGTTTGCTGTCCCTGAGCTATTGGCAGGGCCTGAAGAAGACACGGGCTGTTTTCTCTTTCTTCCATTCTGGTTTTTTGAAACCTTAAATTGAAATAAGAAGATTATGTTAGGAACCTGCTCAGATATTTACTTAAGCTAAGAATCAGAAATCAAAAACAACTTTAAATTAATATCCACCTCCATGTCCCTGCAACATAACTAACAAGTGCAATCCAAACTTACTTGACCAGAAAAAACAAACAGGTTTTAAAGCTTTATGGAAACGCACTACAGGGTTTATTCTTGACATGTTTTCTATCAGATAAGTATTACAAAGAAAAAAACAGGGATGGTAACAGTATGGTTTTTGAAGCTACTATATTATACTCTTAGGAAAGAGCTGCTTCAGCATTTATGGTTCAATCCAAATTCCTTTAATAAAAATGGTACCACTACTCTAAGAGGGGAGGAGGAAGGAGAAGATTCAATGGTAGATTCAAAACCTGAGGAAGTCTACTAGCTAGAAATGTCATCAACAGGGACATTACAAATCTCTACCGTGCAGTGCAAGTAACACTGCTACAACGGTGCCACATGATAGCAGATACAACCCTCAGTGGGGAATCCTTTTGGCAAGATGAATTAGAGGTAACCGACAAAGGACAGACCTGATCATTCCCTCGAAATGAGTTTGACATGCCACCATCCACAGTGACACTTCCACCTCCACCAACTTTATCTTGTTGATGTAAACTTGGATTAGAACTCTGTGATTGCTGATTTGAGAGTGCATGCTGCTGAAGTTGCTGCTGCTGTGAGTTACTGTTCTGTTGCTGTTGCAGTTGCTGTTGCTGTTGCTGCAACTGAGCCATTTTTAACTACAAGGCAAATGAAATATCTAATAAATGGAAAGATCATAAAACTTACGTGACAACAAAACACATATCGAAAGGGGAAATTTGAAATTTCCATACAAGAGAAAGAGAAGTAAAAGCACACTTCAGAGAGACAGTAATACCTTAATTAGCATATCTGTATCTCCCCGAGACACGAGAGGACTGCCTGCCTGCAAAGGTGATACATTTGGAACCACGTCACCAACAGAATTAGAAAGGCTATCCTTTCCAAGGCCCATGGTCCGATTATTATTCAACAGCATTCTCAATCTCCTATTTTCATCACTGCCAGATGGTGATGTCAGATTTTGCTGAGCAAGCATGAGTTGCTGCTGATGCTGTGGTGTCAACATCTGAAGTTGATGAAAGGGCTGCGGAGCCTGTATAAAAGGTTTTTGCTGCTGAAGGAGCCCAGTGCGCAGTTGGTCCAGACCCTAAAAAATGGATAAAATGAAAACCATTCAGAAGACACACTTGATGAAAAGTAAAATTTACAGTTCAATACTACAGGTGATGCATAAAAACAGAAACAATTTCAATCAAAAGATAAATTTATTTACAAAAATCCATACAAAATATATATAATTACAATATTCAGAGTTACCACTATATCGTAAAGTGTAAACTTTATAAAACTTACCGTTAATGGCCATCCTTTCAAAGTCAAATTATTTCCGCCTTGATTTGACCCTGAAAGAAGTATGATATCACAATATTTACTATCCAAATTTCATAGAAAAAAGAGGCCAGCATATCACAAGGACAAGGAAAATGATGAGTTAAATACCATCATCAGTGTACTGCTTTTAAAGGGAAGATGCAATTTAAACAGAACCCTGAGAAAAGTGAAACAAGCCTAACCCGAAATTCCAATTAAAGATCCATCTGGACCTGCAGCTCTGGGATTCAATACTGGATTTATCTCAGTCTTTATGTCCTGTTTTGAGATAAAATTTCAAAAAATGATTCTAAGAGAAGCAACATGTAATGAGATTAATTTGAGGTGGCCCTACCGGTGTTGTGCCTGGCAATTGCTGACTTCGAGCTTGAACTTGAGGAGACATACCACCAGCCGTACCATGCAATACTTGCCTGAAATTTGCACAATGCTAGATAAATTTATTGCTGAAAACAACTGAGCGGTGGATGTTTGAACAAACGCTAAATATGTAACTGGTTATTTCTGATAAAAAAGGAGGTGAAACAAATCAAAATTGTTTCATTGGCATTAAATTTATGTAAGAATAGATTGACCACAAGATTGCAGTAAGTTAGCCCTAAAAAATCTAATGGAAACATTATGTAGCCATTTTGCAAATTGTCATACTTAACATCCATAAGAATTCATCTAAAATGCTCTTTACAAAACAATTTGCAGCCAAAAGCTCTTTACATAATAAAAGAAGTGTGAAATAAATCACCCTGAAGGTTGGCCAGTTGCCGCTGCAGGCTTCAATATCGAGGCATGATTTGGATCCAAAAGCTGGCCAACATTCTCTCCGTACCTTTGCTGTAAGGAGTTCCTAAGGTGGTTAACAGCTAAAACAAGAAAACATTTCCCAGAAAAAAAATAATACACCTACCTTTATAGCTGCATCATCTAAAGAATCCCTTGGAAGTGGCAATTTTAATCTTTCCTCATACATCTTTGTCGCTATGGCATTAGCAGTTCCAGCTGGCTGACGCATGAGAGAGTCATTTCCAACAAGTCCATTTGTACTGCCATTGAGGAGGTGAGGGCCATCCCTTCGCTGCTGGGGCTGCTGCTGCTGCTGCTGCTGCTGCTGCTGTTGCTGTTGCTGCTGCTGCTGCTGCTGCTGCTGTTGCTGTTGCTGCTGCTGCTGTTGCTGCTGTTGCTGCTGCTGTTGCTGCTGAGCATGCCTCTGCAATAGAAGCTGGTGCATCTGCAGTTGTTGTTGCTGCTGCTGCTGTTGCTGTTGATGCTGAGGCTGTTGAGGTTGCTGCTGCTGCTGTTGCTGTTGCTGCTGCTCCCGCGCTTTAATCAACTGTGTCTGCCATATCAGTGCACCATGAGCATCCCATATTTTAAGGAGAAATCATTTGAAAGGCTTATCATGGATTTCAAAATCCATGCTATAAGTACTGTAGAAAATGAAAAATCTTAAATTTTTGGTAAATAATTACAATCCTTAACAAAAATTAACAGTCAAAACACTTCTCCTGCCATCAGTTACATTCCTTACTTTCAATGATGAAACACCTTAGTTTAGCCAGTTCTGCAACAAAGCAACCCACATAGTTTCTCATAGGGCATTAGGTTAATAGTCATAATGCAATAAGTCTTCCAGAAGGGAATCCAATTTCCATGCACAAAACACAATATGCAACATCTGACTAACAAACCCTGACTAATGTCTCTATTAGTTGTCATTTGTCAACAAACCAATAAAAATAATAGTAAGAAATACAACAATGAGTTTGATGGATGAACACTCCAGAGCACACTGATATAGCCATGAAGCTTGTTCAAAGGAAACTGCACAAAATTACTTATGCAAGACATAGAAGACATAAGACAAGGAGGTATTCCTTCGTTTTTATCTTGTTTCCTTCTCTCGTTTAGGCATACATGCACATGCTTGAGAGAGAAATTTCATTTAATCATGACAACTTCAAGCAGGTTACCATTTAAATGTTTTGAGGTAAAAGGACTGATCTGCCACTTAAAGTTCACAAAAGGAAAGAGCCGATTTTGTCAGAGACAAGAAGCCCTATCATACCTCCTACACAATCAATACAAAGGAAATGCTGTGTGAAATGAACAACATAACAGAAGTGCAGATGGGCTTTAATCTCAAATCCAAACCTTTCACAACTACCTCCCCTCCCCAACAAACAATGCAAACCAAAATGTTTAAGCTACCAAGTATAATAGAAACAAATTGAAAGTTTAGAATTGGAAAAATGAATAAAACCAAAACCAACCTCAATATAAGATGCAGCAACCTCTGAGTGCTTCTCATTAGTCCTGGCAATGAATATGTCCCAGAAAACAGACCACCATTCAAAGAGAAAACCTCCAGGTGCATCAATAGCTGGATATCCAGGTTCAAAATCAACATCAACATCAATGAAAATATCAAGTTTTCTAAAGAAAAAGGGATGTTTAGGATGAGAAAACAAGAACCTAAAAAATAGAAAAGGCCTTCTTCAGCTCTAAAAAGAAACTCTTGAACCCACTTAGTTACTTACCTACAGGATCTGATGATACTTTTCCTTCAGCTTGAAAAGCCTGAGCTGAAGCCTTTAAATCCCTCTTTACTAAATAATCATGGATATACACATCTAACCTGTTATTGAGAAAAAACATGGCCATACGGCATCACTTATGAGAGCAAGCAACCAAAATTTACAAGCCTAACTGCAACACTATCAGCAAAGAAAACCAAATCCATAGTAGAAAACCTAAACCTTACATAAAAATCTGATGAAGGACAGCTGAGAACAGCTTTATACAAATTTGGAATTTAACATGATATTGCCCAAAAAAAGGGTTACTCAGAAACAAAATACCACCAATGGGAAAAATTAATTTTTGATGAAACGGTCTTTTCAAAACAGAGCAGTAACATTAAACACACAAAACCCTAGACCAAATTTGTTTAATTAAAAAAATAAAGAACAGAAATAATGCAAAACAGCAGAACAGTAACTACAAGTTTCAGAACAAACAAAACCCTAACAAAGACCAGCTTCAAAGAACAAAACTTGGAATCTAAACAACTTCAAAAAGGAGAAGCAAAAATCCAGAAAAGCTTACATACCCAGAACTCAAATCAACCAAAAAAAGAAACAACTTTAAACTCCAAAGCCACATTAGAAACTAAAGAAAAAAAATCGAAAACCCAAAAAAGCAAGCTTTAATAAGACGAAGGGAAAAAGAAAGAAGTTACATTTTATCAGCTTCCCAGTTGGTTTGAGACATCTTGTTGAATCCAATAACAGCCCAAAAACACTTGAGAACAGCTCCAGATTCCTAGGTACCTGTCTGAACGGCTTCTCTTCAAGTTTAATGGCTACCCAGAAAATATAAATACTAACTCATTATTGCACTACGACCCAAAAAAAAAAGAGGCAAAATTCAAAACAACAACAAATAAAACTTATTTCAGTAGCAGGAAGAGAAGAATCTATGTAGAGGAATATAGAAGGCAAAGAGGCAGAACCTCTCTAATTTTAGCAACATGAATATTAAAAATTTATTTATTTATTTATTTATTTATTTATAGATTAAGAAAAGAAAGAATAAAGAAAAGCGAATGATAGATAGAGATACCTGCAATCCCAAAAACGTTTATTAGTTTTTTGAGAGCTTTCCCCCTTTTTTTTTT